GGGTGGGGGAAGGAGGGAGAGAGAGACGGAGGAAGGAACCAGAGACGGAGTATGCTCTTCAGTGGCACATCCACAGAGACCCATTTGGACCATGGCTACAACAGCCTTAAAATCCTTTATATAAAAAAAGGAACTTAAGCATGACTTTCTCTCGAGAAGCCTATACCCATATTTGGGTATATCTACCTTCTTCCCATCTCTAATGATCTGATGTTTAAGACTATGTTAAAGCTGGGTGTGGTGGCACATGCCTTTAATCCCAGCACTCGGGAGGCAGAGGCAGTCAGATGTCTGTGAGTTCGAGGCCAGACTGGTTTACCTAGTGAGTTCTAGGCCAGCTGGGGCTACAGGGAGACCCTGTCTCAAAAAAAGACCAAAAGACTATGTTAAAATCTCTTAATAAACTCTAATGTTGTTTCATAAAAAATTAAGTTTTTATTTTTACTTATTTAAAGAAAAAAAATGTATGTGGAATAAAGTCAACAGAAAGATGCCTTGAGGGCCTATCTCAGGAATTGTCCAACCCCAACCCAGCTGGCCTGAAGCTCTCCATGTAGACCAGGCTGGCCTTGAACTCACAAAGACCTGCCTGCCTCTGCCTCCCAAGTGCTGGGATTAAATGCATGTGCCACCATGCCCAGCTTTAACATAGTCTTAAACATCAGATTAATAGAGATGGGAAGAAGGTAGACAGATATACCCAAGTGTGGGTATAGGCTTCTCGAGAGAAAGTCATGCTTAAGTTCCTTTTTCTTTTTAAAGGATTTTAAGGCTGTTGTAGCCATGGTCCAAATGGGTCTCTGTGGATGTGCCACTGAAGAGCATACTCCGTCTCTGGTTCCTTCCTCCGTCTCTCTCTCCCTCCTTCCCCCACCCACTCTTTCCTTCCTTCTTAGCCTCCAAGTTGAACAGTTTCCTCCACTCCACCTTCTATCATGATGTCCTGCCCCATTACAAGTCTAAAGAAATGAGGTCCAACAACCCTCAGCTGAAACCTCTCAAACTGTGGAGCTGAAATACTACTTTCCTCTTTAAAAACAAAAATAGGGGGCTGGAGAGATGGGTCAGTCGTTACATGGGCTGCACCTGTAAAGGACCTGGGTTTGATTCCCGGCTCCCACAGGGCAGCTAACAACTGTCCATAATCCCAGTTCCAGGGGCCTTCCTCTGACCTCTGTGGGTGTTGCATGCCATAGGTACACTTACATAAATGTAGGCAATATGGTCATATACATAAAAATAAAAATAATAAAAATATTAGGATCAAAACAAAACAAAACAAAAACAGTTTAGGATGAGGGTGTAGCTCAGTGGTAGAGGTCTGTCTAGCACATACAAAGTCCTGAAGTTAATCCTTAGCTCCACAAATCCTCAAAACTTCTTGATGTCATCCCTTTACTTACTGTGCTTCCTCTTCCTATTCCTTTATGGCAAACACCTCAGAAATATTGCTTGGGAAGGGCACAGATCTACGATCCCTGAACTTGGAAGGCAGAGTCAGGAGAATGAATTTGAGGCAGCCTGGGATATACAGTGAGCTCAAAGCCAGCCTGAGTTACACAGTGAGCACATAAAATACTAGGTGCAGTGGTACATGCTTGCAATTCTGGCACCTGGGAGATGGGAGGTAGGAGGATCAGGAAGTTCAAAGTCATCCTTAAACACAGTTGAGTTTAAGGCCAGCCTGGGATACAGTGAGAGCTTCTCAAAAACAAAAATACAAAATCCACATGCCAGGTGCCAGGTATTATGAAACATACCTATAATTTCAGCCACTAGTGTTCTGTATATAAGCTTACCAGAAACAGGCCTCATGATGTCCACTGGTTCTACTTCTTCTTTTACTTTGATCTCAGGAACAGGAGGCCCCAGAACAGTGGAAAGACTGCCACCCACAGTTGCTGCTGGCGGTGGTGCAGCTGCAATGGTAGTGATGGGTTGAGTGATGGGGACTGCTCCAGGAATGGTTGAAAGGGAGATGGCTGGCTGGGATGGAGGACTGGCTGCTGCAATCATGGTTGGAATGGTTGGTGGAGGCTGCTGGGCAGTGGGTGGGACTGCAATGGTAGGTTGTTCAGCATTTTGATTGGATACGGTATCCATGGACACTGTGACTGGAGTGGCCATAGACACGTGGATTTCGGATTTAGGTTTGGCACTGAAATACAAAAGGAAAGCATTATCTAGCAAATATGAGAAAATTGCTTTACCCTTCAACATCTTAGAGGAAGAGTATTTAGTTATTTTTGTAAAGCACAATACAACTGACACTGTAATTCTAGATGTTCAACTTTAAGTTAACTTTGAGAGAAAATTCAAGTCTTTATTTATGTTGCCAGGGACTGAATCCAGGGCCTTAAGCAAACTAAACACATACTCTGGCACTGAGTTACAGCCCTAATGCAGAGCTCAGGTTTTAAACACATCCTGTGTGTAAGGCTGGGGATACAGTTCAGTGACAGAGTGCTTGCCTAGCCTGGGCAAGGCCCTAGGTTCAACACCTAGCATCACAGAACAAGCAAGCAAGAGGCAAACAACAAAACACAGCCCCCACTCCCCAATTCTACCAAGTTTTTATATACAGTAACTCAATCTTAGAAACAAGGAACATTTTAAATTATTTAAAGTCGCATCACCGTACATGGACTATACATTTTTAATATGTATGTTGTCTTTGTAGTTTTTTTCTTCTCCTTTTTTTTTTCAGACAGAGTCTCCCTGTAGCCCCAGTTGATCTAGAACTCACTATGTAGACCAGGCTGGCTTCAAACTCAGAGATCCGCCTGCCTCTGCCTCCCGAGTGCTGGTAGTAAAGGCATGCACCACTATCTTGGCTACTGTAGTTTTTTTTGTTTGTTTTTTGTTTTTTTTGAGACAGGGTCTCCCTGAGCCCCAGCTGTCCTGGAACTCACTATGTAGACCAGGCTGGCCTTAAACTCACAGAGATCCACCTGCCTCTGCTTCCTAAGTGCTGGGATTAAAGGCGTGTGCTACCACGCCCGGCCAATTTTTTTTTGTTTTTTTAAACTACAATTATATTCACATTTTATATGCACTTTCATTTTAAAAAAGCTTATTATTTATTTATGTGTTTGTGCATGTGTGTGCAGGTGCCTGCAGAGGCCAGAAGAAGGAGTAGGATCCCCTGGTACTAGAGTTACAGGCTGCTGTGAGTCACCAGACCTGAGTGCTGAGAACCAAACTTGTGTCCTCTGCAAGAGCAGCAAGGACTCTTAACTGCTGACTCATATCTCCAGCCCTCAATGAAATTTCTTGTAACTCATTTTCTTATTTTTTCTTCCTTTTCTATGAGACAAGGTCTCCCCCTGTCACCCCAGATGGCCTGGAACTCACTATGTAGAATCAGGCTGGCCTCAATCTCAGAGATCCACCTGCCTCTGCCTCCTGAGTGATGGGATTAAAGGCATGTGCTATCACACCTGGTATAACTCTATTTCTTATAAAAGAGAAAGTCATGAAAAGTGGCAAAGTTCCAAAAGGTAAAGATTACCAAGTGTGTGAGATTCTAGGATCAATTCCCAGTGCTGAAGATAAACAAACCCCAAAATGTATATCCTCCTGGGCATTATGACACTGGCTTGTAATCTCAGCACTAGAGACTGAGGCAGGAAGACTGTGAGCTCAAGGGTGACCTGGGCTACATAGTGAGACCCTATAAAAAAAAAGGAGGAGGAAAAGGAGGAGGGGAAGAAAAGGGGCTGCAGGGAGGACAGTGGGTAAAATGCTGGATTTGCAAGTGTGAGATGCAATAGCACCCATCTGTAATCTCAGTGTTCCTACAATGTAATGAGATGGGAAGTAGAGACAGGAGAATCCCTAGAACCTCATAGGTCACTTAGCCTGTCATACACAGTGACCAACAACAAGGAGCCATTCTCTAACCTTAACATATATACTGCAGCACACACGCATCCCCATTCTCATTCTTATTCTCTCTCTCTCTCAGATTATATATA